TCTGGGGATTCTATGATATTAGCATATGTTGATGCGGACTATGCTGGTTGTTTGGATACTCGAAGGTCTACATCATGATGGTTTGTGAAGATTGGTCACTCTTTTGTGTCGTGGCATTGTAAGAAGCCAAAGTGGGTGTTGAAATCGTCGATAGAGGAAAAATATTGCTCTATGTCTGAAGTTACCTCTGAACTCGTCTGGTTACAACGTTTGGTGGCCGAACTTGTGCTGGAGTGTGCTCTCCCTATGCGCTTGTATGCATATAATACAAGTGCTATTCGAATCGCTACTAATCCTATTCTGCATGACCGAACGAAACATATCGAGGTTCACATTCATTACATTCGTCAATTGTTTCGAGGGACAGATCGAGTTAGCATACATTACCTCTAAAGATCATACTGCGGATCTTCACACCAAAGCCATTGCTTCTACTCGTCATTGGTTTCTTGCATTCAAATTGATGTTGCGTAAGCATCATCAATTTGCGGGAGGGTGAAAAAGTTATAGAAGTTAGAGGGAGTTAATTGTAATTTGCCAATATTCCTTATGTATTATGGAAGGCTACATGAGTTAGAGTTAGGAGGGCTCGGGTATATATTGGGAGATTAGAGCCGAATTGTAACCTAAGAATTCTCAATGTATACAATTGACTCCGAGATGTTGGTCCTTTCCGTGGATTATTCCCAACGATACTCGTTGAGAACACCACGTAAATCTCGTGTTTTGTTCTCCTTTTGATTCAGATTGACAGAGGTTGTCCATTGCTATTATTTCACGCGAAACCAAATATCCACCGCTAGTGCCAATCTGTTTTGGGCGATGTTGATTTGTTGTTTCGCGGATGAAACTTTTGCGGTGTTGTTTGACGGGATGCACCTCTGACCACTGAAAACAAGAAGACCGTCAAATATCCACCGTCGGGTGATGTTGATTTGATTGATGCACCACTGACTTCTTAACCAACACGACCGTTAATACGGTTCACACCTCTCCAAACAATGTTCCAATGAGGGTGTTTAAGTTTTTGGGGAATCTACGTTAAAACTACTCATATGGATATTCCTGTGGAGAGCTCCGCGACTACGACTACTGCTACGACTATGGAGATCCTTTCTGGAAGGAGAGCTCCGCAAGGGAGGTATAGAGAAAAAAGATAAGTTTGGAACAGAGTTGTTCTGTGTTTGATTTTTTGCTTGTTCTCTCTCTCCTTGCTCTGGTGCTTTTATCAAACATCTTCGTAGTCATCACGATGTGATACCGGCTTGCCTTTGTTTCCCACGTGCTCCATCCTACTTCACGAAGTTGTAGTCTTCACTACCTCGCATCCGTTCTCCAATCTTCCTTGCGTAAGGTGATATGCGCACACATCAACTTTGTACCACTATAGTTCGAATCACAACACCACCATCCATTAAACAACATTGTTGTTTCATCCCTCACCACCGCATACTCGCCGTGAGGTTGTTGATCTCTCGGTGTCGTTGACTACACAACACCGTCGAAACTCGCAGCATTGTTGATCTCGCAACATTGTTGAGCTCGCAGTCTCGCAATGTCGTTCTTACCTTAACGATATCTTCATCGCAACGTTGGCCTTGTCAAATTCACAACCACATACCAAGACTCAATATGGTTTTTCATTAAACAATGTCATTTTCTATTCTATGACACTGTTCAATTTTGTGTCAAGCTTGCAACTTCACTGCGATATTGAATTACTCTACCCTCCAATCCATTCATCAATTTCACCAAACTCGCGCTGTTGTTTGGACTAAACAAAGTTGCTTTACGCCTCCTCGACGTTGTTTTTAACTAATCAATGTCGTTTCAGGTACCACAACGTTGTACTCCATGAAACATCGTTTTTGTTGCAATTTCTCGCGACATTGTTTTTACTAAACAATGTCATTCTTAGTATCGCGGTACCGTTGGGGTTTGACTTCTCGGTGTTGTTTTATTTTACCAAACAAAACCATTTCTAATTCCACACCGGTGTTGGTCACGCACCCATGCAATCTTGGCCGAATCCTCTCCTTCTTCAGTAAGGAATAGAGAGCACTCCTTTTCCAATCCCAACATCAATATTGCAAAGCCGAACCATGGCTCACGACATTGTTGGATCTTACTTGCGGTGCCGTTTAACCCCTCCGCGACGTTGCTTGTCTCTCAACGATGCCGTTTTTTATCATGCGGCATCGAATTATATGCCGAGACTCATTATTACGGCATTTAATTTAGGTCAAAAATATTTTAGGTGTTAACAGCTATTCTCACAATCTCGTGACTGACGTTGATTTCTCAAGCATGCTCTGAGAATCACCGACAAAGTGGTGATCAGGAATCCTCCGATCTGTCTCTATAGCCGAAGGAGAGAGGGCTCCCCTCATTTTTTTTATGTTTGTAACATATTAGATTTCATTTATTTTTAATGTATATTAGTTGATCATTCAGCAACGTGTTATTCTTTAATTTGGTGGAGGTGAGTCATTTTAACTAGTAAAGTAGGACTATTTCATCCATAGGTCCACGGCCTTTGAATTGAGGAGCAATGCAATTCCCACCATGAAAAAGAAGACATCCTCTTTTTATCTCTTTGCAGAGTTCCCAACATAGGATAACAGTAGCCACCCCTTCCAAAAACGAAAACGTGGGATGAAGCATCAACCTATTACCTATTCAATATTCCTTTGGGAAGCATCAACCTATTACAATCAGGAAAGGAATGGAGCAGCCAATTCGGCGCTTACAATTGAAGATTACAACCAAGAAAGCAACCGCACACTACTGGTTTGTCTTCTTTACTACTAATCAGGGGAAGTATTCCCGTTTATCACCTTACCAACATACCAGGAAGATCCTAATATAAATCCTATATTATTAATGGAAAAAGAGGCATCTCTTTGTCAAAAGTAGCATACATATGTAATGTATGAAACAAAGTAGCATATACATATGAAATCCCGCAATGAAGTGAACAGGAAATTTGGGCATCTCAATTCTCGATTAGAAGCGAGAAACCATGCGCATATAACCAAACCATATTACCTATAAACTCAGAGATCCATAGTAGAAAGCGATGAAACTGAGGGTTAAGGTGAAGGTCTCAAATGGTGTAGCAATCATAACTGAAGTCGACTGTGCAACACAGCCCATGGATTGGATTTGGCCTACGTGAGTGAGGGGCAGAGGGTACAAATATCATCTAAGGACTCCGGCAAAAGCGATATTTTGAAAACCCTGCAATGTTGGGAAGAAATCGATGGCCAAGGAGGGACTTCCAAGTGTTGATTGACAATCCAATCAAATGGTCTGAGGCGGCAATCCTCCTTAGATGGAAAAGGAAGCAGCCTGTAGAAACCATAATCGCAAAGAACCGGGCGAATTCCAATCTCAAATCCTACATGTTCATGATAACGAAAAACCCTAAGCCCCAAACAGAAGAAAACCACACAAGGGTACACATGAACTCGAAGAACCCATCCAAAAAAACAACAACCTGGAAATCTAAACAACCAAAGCCACCGGAAAAGCGTATTAGCCGAGTAGAAAGAAGAGGGTTTGAGTTCGATTTGTTGGGAATGCAGATACAGTAATGGGAAGAAGAATACCTGGATATCAGAGTTCTCGTAGGATTCATTTCTTGTCGCAAATATTCACTTGTAGCATACCATATCTCAAAGGACTAGCGTAATTTTTCTACCGCTTGTACATTTCCGTTATGATGGTGTTTTTTTCAAAATCAAACTTTGTTATTAAGCATCGTGGACTAGCCATCCCTTAGAAGGTATTGTTAAAAGATCATCAATTCCTAATGAAATGGATGTAGCAGTGGCTTGTTGGAACCCAAAGTGTTAGCCTAAAAGGGTTTGACCATCTGCTTCGAAAAAAGGGGAAGAAAATAAAAACCAGAGGGAACTTATGCCGGCGAAGAACTCGGCAGTAAGGAAAGCAATAATCATTTGTAAGGCTAAAACTTATTAACATATTGAATTTGGCGTCGCTGCGGGAAGGAGAAAGGAACTGAAGACAGATATGGGAAAGAGGGAAAAATGGAAACGGGTAAGGGAGGCCGGCCGCGAGAAAGAGCGAACTGAATGACTTAATTACCCCCACCGCAAATGAAGGGGAGAGCAAGAAATTTGAATCCGCGAAAAGTACACAAAAGTGTACAATATATTAATGGTGGATATAGATATAGATATAGATATAGATGCTCAGTGGAATAATTCTCACTTACAGGATGTATATGACTTGACAATTTTTCATAACTATTCAAACTATTAATTCCTACCAATAATCCAAATAAATTATCAATAAAGTCATAAACAATAAATAACCGACAAATAAATCTAAAATAATAAAAAATAGCAATAGTTTTTGTTTCCACCAATTCACGATTTAAATCTTCCAAGACTTACGATTTTACGATTCAAATCTATGTGTCAATTTTCTTATTTTCCCGAGAACTTTTAGAATTAAGTCTCTTTTCCTTCTCCTCCACCAACATCGACCATCATCAACATATCAATCTTCATTGATTTACCACTTCTAAACATTAACCTTATAAATTGAAACATTAAACTTGAGAATTTATCATTGTAAGTGTTAAGTGTTTTTCTGTTATTCATAATTTTCATTATTAATATTATTTCGTCTTTAATTTTATATGAACCTTAAAATCCTAAAATTTTAAGATTCGATTTACGATTCAGATTTACCCTCATTTTCGATTTTACGTAAAATCCCGATTTTGAATACTATGATCGCAATTAAGCAGATCAAGTTCTAAACACTTCCAAGACAACAAGATCAATCCGAGCTCGGTTTCCTTTTGGCATTAATTGAACCATTATAGGATTTGAAAGCATTGCATATGATAAACGTTCTTGATTGAAGAACTCTTCTGTATAGAACTCCCACTACCATCATTTTATATATAATTCCCATAACTTAAGACTTCTTTAAGTCTCTTCTTCTATTTCTCAATAACTCTTCATTCAAGCAATGAAGGTTGGAGGCTTCCTAATCTTAGTGAGTTGCTCAAACCCATAAGCAATTTGGATCAACTTTTGCTCAGTTCCCTTCAGCCCTCCAAAATTAATCCCAAAGGGCACCCCTTTCTCATCATACCCAGCTGGCACATTGATCCCTGGGAATCCTCCAATGGCAAGGACTGCAGAAATCCCAGGTCCATGAGTCACCAAAGCATCCAATTCATGATCCCACATCAGCTTCTGAAACCCATCTTTGGTCAGCTGCTCCAAATTTGCCATTGCTGCCTTCTCCAGGCTCCCAATCCCATTTGTCCCCTCAGCAGCTAAGAATATTTCTTGACCCAATTCATCATTCATTTCCTGCATTTATAACATATAGCCATTCAGTTTCCACAAGCCTAGTTACTCTACATTGTCTAAGTTCATGGACCAAAAGTTAGCATCAGCCCTTATAAAGGAGAAAACTTTGCAGTTAGGTTTTCATTTGGCAGTATACTCACAGAATCTGAGAACTTCTGATTAAATGCAATCACATCAGCCAGTGTCCTTACTGGGGAAACAACCAGCTGCTTCAAATATGCATTCACTGATACCTTGAACTCTGCCAACAATGCAACAGCTTCCCCACTTCGCGTTGCATTTGAGATGGTCTCGATGTTGGAGATCTCCAACTTGTCAAACACGGTTGCCCCTCCCTGCCTTAAAATCCTGACATGGCTCTCAAAGGCTTGCCTTTCATATTCACCCACACTGCTCAAGAATGGGTTCCTCACAACTCCAATTCTCTTCCCTTTTAGACCATTAGCTTTCAAAAACTGCTTGTACCCTCCATAAGGGATGTACTTTGATGCCTCTCTTGTCGCTGGATCGAATTCGTCGAACCCAGCAATGGCATCGAGAACATGAACTGCATCAGCCACTGTCCTGCAAATAGGCCTGAAGTGAAAAGTACCAAAATGTTAAAAGGTGGAAAATTGGGTTTAAAGTTGCTAGATTTTTTTTATTGTTAGGTTATATTACCCAATGGTGTCCTGTCTGGGAGAAACTGGGACAACACCAGCTCTGCTAGTGAGACCAACTGTTGGCTTTATCCCCACAGCAGAATTTGCATGGGATGGGCACAAAATAGACCCATCCGTTTCAGTTCCGATAGAAACAGCTATCAGATTTGCTGCCACTGATATTGCTGACCCACTGCTTGACCCACAAGGATCAGCAGACAACACATAAGGGTTCTGCCAAAATCATGTTACTAGTATGTTAGAATGCTGCAACGCCACTTTTAATCTTGTGCTAGCAAACACAATTTAAGTAACTACACATTGAACCATCTAAACCTCACCTTTCCTTGGCCACCTCTGGGACTAAACCCGTTAGGAGCGTTGAGCGACCTGAAAGCAGCCCACTCACTCAAGCTAGCCTTCCCTAAGATGATGGCACCACCCTGCCTCAGCTTAGCCACCACACCCGCGTCTCGAGCCACAACCGAACCAAGCAAGGCAAAAGAGCCAGCACTTGTGTTCAGCTTGTCTTTGGTCCCTATGGTGTCCTTGATCAGCACAGGGATTCCATGTAACCCGCCAAGCATCGAACCTCTCCGCGTCTTGGCTCGTGCTCGCTCGTAGTCAGCTCTATCCGCTTGGTAAATGGCATCCGGGTTCACTTCTATGACCGCATTGAGGATGGGATTCAGCCTATTAATCTCAGAGATGTAGTACTCCACCAGTTGCCTTGAGGTCAGCTGGTTTTGCTTGAATGCCAGCTGGATCTCATCTATGGTTGCTTCCTTGATTGAGGTCAACAAGGCATTGCTGGTGGTTAATGTCAGAAGAAGCACAAGGGAGAATGAAGAGAGAGCTGAAGTGAATTTCATCTTTTCCCTTATTAAACAAACGACAAATGGGAGATTGTATTTTTCAACAGTTTAGCTAGGTAACTATTTATATGAGATTAGAGATGCCAAGCTTGTGGGCTGTGTGTTCTTATGTAGATGGACTGCTTCTGTCAAGATTAACCAAACAAGAATGAGAAAGTGACCAACTCTAGTTGAGAATAAACGGTTTTGGAAGGTTGGTTGTCCCTTTTCGATGATGTTTGATAGACTTGGGCACTTAGCCTGCCATTTGTGATTTGATTAGTTGAATCCTTGTGAATTCAGGACTGGGGATACTACCAAATGTATATTTCAACATGACTCGATTGTCTTTTGCAGGACCTGGGAATCTTGTTCTCCGAGAAGCAAAGCAAGTATCAGGACTGATTCCAAGAAACTATAGATATGGCCCCCAAGTTGCAGGCCATGTAATACGACCTGGAGGGTGTATTTTTATCAAGAACGACTCAATCGAAGAATCGATTGAGCTCGAATCAAGAACGAAGCGCTCTTAATACGAACTTTGGATAATACGGAACCAACGGACAATTCCACACCTGGGGAAAGCTCACATGGTATAAAAGGGTAGCTGCTCGACCACGATTGAAGAGGATATTCAATCGATACAAAGCTCACACGCTTGGAATCCACCAAACTCAAACAAGTCGCAACTTGCACAAAACCAAAAGGTTATCAATTCGATTAATCAAAGTCTTCTGTTTTACAACGTAAATGGAGGGCTACTTATAGCCAATAAAACCTAATACAAATCTAGATGAACAAGGAAACAATTAAGGTAAAACAAACTCTAAAAAGGACTCAAAAATCGGCCATAAACTTCCTTTCTTGGCGCACAAGTAATCTGCCCGCAAAACAGTCAAAAGGCAGCTTTCGTACTAACTTCGCGCCTTTTGTTCGAGGCCTTCCCGAACTCCAATCCTTCATCCAATTCCTTCCCTTTGTTCACAAACATACCTAGTTTCATGTTGAGGAAGCCTTTTGACTTGAATCCCATCCATGCTCCTTGAATTGAGCTCCAAAGTAGGCTTCACATAACAGTTTTCTGCCTTGGTCATTTTCTGGCAGTTTTCCAGTTTTGAGGTAGCAACTTTAAGGCCTTGGAAAACAACCTTAATGACATCATCTGGATCCACAAAGAATACCATTGGAAACATGACAACTTTATCTGTAAAACAAGCCCTTAAACTTGCATTTCCACCAAGCCAATAGAGAGAACCATGCCTCCAAATTATGTACCCTGAACACGGATTTTGACTTGGCCAAATTCTGCCCTTCTTCTTACCAACTTTGATAGCTTCTTCGCCAAGTAATTTAAACGTGTAGAGCTGACTATTTGGGATCATATCAGGCTCCCCCTCTTCAAAAAGCTTTGCCCTCAAAGCTTGTATGATTTTGCAAGCCAAAATACGATCAGAGGGTGCCCAAAATGGGTCTTCAAAAGTGCATCCCAAACGTTCTTCATTGTTCTTCAAATCCGCACTGCCTTCTGCCTTGTTGTTATTCATGGATGATTTTGTGAGAACTAAAGCATAATGATCCTCCACTTCACTTCTCAGATCAATATCGACGATGATCAGCCTCGGAAACGCAGTCAGAACCTTCACCATACTACCCAGTTTTGCGAGGAACTCGGGGAAGTCGTTGAAAGTTGAATGGCAAGGATTCAAGCCGCCATTCTTCAATCTGCTGGTCGAACCTTCTTTCTCCTTCATTGGAATACGCTTCTCGATCAATTCCAAGTCTCGAATATCCCTAGAATACGACGAATCATCATTTTCGCTTTTCCCGCCGTCGTTAGTTTTCAAATTCCGTGAGCGCAAATCATCCAACTTGAAATTGGGGGTTTTTAAATCCGGCATCTTCCAGTCAAATTGATGCTCCCTACACATTCCTTGTACCTCATATGATGATTCTATATCGTTTGTTTGGCTCGACTCAAGCTGGTTTACTCCACCCAAGAGAGGGTAATCGTCGGCAGTGTTATTCACGTTTGAATTTGAGGCTTTTGAATTCAGGCGCCTCCAGTCGAATTCATGTGCTCCAATGGTTTCTTCATACTTCGAATCACAATTCTGTACTGGTAGTATACCTCGAATCGTTGACCTTATCGTCGAATCGACGAAGGTTGCCTTCCCGCCATTGTCGCCGTGTAAACCTACACAACTCAGAATGCCCAATTCGATTTTGGGGGTTTTTAGTCTAGGCGTCTCCGGATCAAATTGAACGTTCCCAAAGCAATCTGCACAACCAAAGTTCCACTTAATACGACCTTGGGGGTGTATTTTTATCAAAGTAACGCAGCAACGACTCAATCGAAGAATCGATTGAGCTCGAATCAAGAACGAAGAGCTCTTAATACGAACTTGAGATAAAACGGAACCAACAGACAATTCCACACCTGGGGAAAGCTCGTATGGTATAAAAGGGTAGCTGCTCGACCACGATTGAAGAGGATATTCAATCGATACAAAGCTCACAAGCTTGGAATCCACCAAACTCAAACAAGTCGCAACTTGCACAAAACCAAAGGTTTTTCGATTAATCAAAGTCTTCTTCTTCGCCCTTGTGTAGAACGGGGCTCTGATACCACTTAATACGACCCTGGAGGGTGTATTTTTTTCAAAGTAACGCAACAACGACTCAATTGAAGAATCGATTGAGCTCGAATCAAGAACGAAGCGCTCTTAATACGAACTTGGGATAATACGGAACCAACGGACAGTTCCACACCTGGGGAAAGCTCGTATGGTATAAAAGGGTAGCTGCTCGACCACGATTGAAGAGGATATTTAATCGATACAAAGCTCACACGCTTGGAATCCACCAAACTCAAACAAGTCGCAATTTCCACAAAACCAAAAGGTTCTCAATTCGATTAATCAAAGTCTTCTGTTTTTACAACGTAAATGGAGGGCTATTTATAGCCAATAAAACCTAATACAAATCTAGATGAACAAGGAAACAATTAAGGTAAAACAAACTCTAAAAAGGACTCAAAATTCGGCCATAAACTTCCTTTCTTGGCGCACAAGTAATCTGCCCGCAAAACAGTCAAAAGGCAGCTTTCGTACTAACTTCGCGCCTTTTGTTCGAGGTCTTCCCGAACTCCAATCCTTCATCCAATTCCTTCCCTTTGTTCACAAACATACCTAGTTTCATGTTGAGGAAGCCTTTTGACTTGAATCCCATCCATGCTCCTTGAATTGAGCTCCAAAGTAGGCTTCACATAACAGTTTTCTGCCTTGGTCATTTTCTGGCAGTTTTCCAGTTTTGAGGTAGCAACTTTAAGGCCTTGGAAAACAACCTTAATGACATCATCTGGATCCACAAAGAATACCATTGGAAACATGACAACTTTATCTGTAAAACAAGCCCTTAAACTTGCATTTCCACCAAGCCAATAGAGAGAACCATACCTCCAAATTATATACCCTGAACACGGATTTTGACTTAGCCAAATTCTGCCCTTCTTCTTCCCAACTTTGATAGCTTATTCGCCAAGTAATTTAAACGTGTAGAGCTGACTATTTGGGATCATATCACCATGGTTCTAGTAGTGCTCGTTGTTTGTACCTTGTTTCGTATATGAAACCATTCAAGCCGGAACTTTTTTATTTGTTCTCCATGCCTTGTTTCAATCCACCAAAACGTGGGAGTCGGAAATTTAACAAGTGATTATACTTATAAAAGACACTTACTCGTTTGAGGGGACAATCCCTTTATGATAAAATATTAAAACAAAACAGAAACAATTCAATATATTTCCAGAGATCCCCTCATTTATGATAATTTGAGTCTTGATATCAATATATAGGTCAGACTGTATCCTCCTGGAGCATACGATGCTCCAAGTGTTCAATCGCATGGAGGTGCAACTATGATTAGGAATCCATTTCAAAGCGGGGAAGCTCCAGTCATGATGGCGGAGTTCAAGGTCAGAATCAATCAGTATCTCGCAGAGCTGATAAAATCCGTGTGTCATAATGGGTCGACGTATCCCCATTTGCTATTCCTCCTCTTGAATGAATAAAACTCAGCCATGATTGCACTGTAATTTGCACACAAGAGAAAAGAAAAGAACGAGGGACTGCAATAATGATGGTTCCAATGTACTACTTATATATCATATCATAACCGAGAAGAAATGGTTCTGCTGTGTTCAGCAACAACCTAGAAGAGAAATTCAGGACAAAAGAGATGAGCTTCACTGAGCATAACAAAAGACCTGATTGTTTTGAATTCCTCTAAAATCTTATATCGACATTCCTAATATATAGACATAAAACGGTAGATAATGGGGGATGGCAAAGTCTCTCTAAGTAGGTGATCACTCAAACGCCCACTGGTTCTCCCTCCTGACCTCTTCTTCCTCCTCTGGGGTGAAATCGTTCTTGATGTTGAACGTCTTGCGAATCTCCTCAGGTGTCTTCCCCTTGATCATATCAGCCACAGTCTGGCAGGTCAAGTCCAGCAGCCCCTTGATGTTGAGATAGTTAGCAGCCTGTGAATAACCAAACGTTACATTCATCAGCAACTAGAAACCTTAATACAGCTTAGACCCATCAACTGCATATTACATGTTCAGATTTCGCAACAACCTAAGTATGGAAACATAGATTGTTCATAGAATTGGAAACATATTCAGCTTTAAAGCAACAAAAGAAGTTATTTATGTATACGTATAGCCTAATTCAGGCAGGTCCTTCAATCACTGAATTTGAATACTCTCCGTACAATACTAGAATACATTCAATATTGTGAAACTTCAGGCAGGGATTCCACAATCCCAATATAGGCAACAACACAGACAATTGAATCTTTCACCTAAACCCTTATAATACACAGGGCAATTCACATTACAGTTTATATAGGCGTTCAAGAACATAAAACTCGAAATTTGAGCAGAGCAAACCCTAGAAGGAAGCAGGACTACCGAAATGGAGCATAAACGGGGAAAATCAAAAGAAACCCTAAGAGACACGAGTGAGAGAGGGAAGGGGACATTACCAAGATGAGGTCGAAGAGGGTATTCTGGTCAACCTTGACGAAATCAGCGTCCCAGGTCTTGAGAGACTCGTCAGAGGAGGTAGCCAGCTTGTCCTTCTCGGCGTCAGACTCGACGTGCTTGCGGCAGTACTCGATCACCTTGGCCAAGATCTTGCTGGTAACGTTGGGGAGCGGGATCTCGTTGTCGGCGCAGTCGTCCTCGATCATATGCTTGATGGTCTGAGACTCGACGGCAACTGACTCCTCGACCTCGAAGGTCTCGCCGTCGGACGACTTCAGGGTGAACTTCTTAGGGGTGGTCGCCATTGTCGCCGGGATTAGGTTTGGGTAGACGGAAAAACGAGGAAGGGTTGGAAGGTTCTAGGCGCAGCGGAAAAGGGAACAGCCTTGGAACGTTAAAGAGATGCCAAAAGCGTGAGGACTTATGATGGAGGGCCGACTATTTATATGGAAACTCCAGGGCTGAGCCGGTAATTGGGACGTTTCCTTTTGGGCCTTGGATTAGGAGCTATATCCGTTTCTTTTGTTTCGGATTCGGAGGAGTTAGTGGCCCACGCTAGTTGCTGCTTTACTTATTTTCTAACGTCTAAAAGTTGGCCCGAATTGCTCCAATGTTACAGTGGGTTCAAGGATCCCAGTAATCACTCCGACATTTGATTAGGATGATTCTTTTTAATTGTGATTAGGATGAAATTTCAAAATGATTTGTCGATTTCTCTGTTTAGAGCAGGCTGAGGTTAGGATAATTTGCTAGCCTTTTGTTTTTTTTTTTTTTTTTTGCGTTACAAGGAGGCCGCAGCCAAGAAGAAGAAAGGTTACATGGAGGTGGATGAAAGGGAAGAGGTAGATGAGGTAGCAACAATGCGACGCTCAAAAGTGATGCCCATGTTGTCTTCCAAGAGAATATTTCCTAAGCCTTGGGGTGGATTCGCAAGCTCATGCATACCGTAGGGATAGACGAGACTGTGCTTCGAGAGCCAGTCCGCGACTCTATTCCCTTCTCGGTATGTATGAGTGATGCTCACCAACCAGTCTTGACTTAGTTTCCTGCGAATAGCAGAGATGAGAGTCGAGTACGGGTGCACCTGATCATGCCGATTCTGAATGAGCTCAATAGCCAGTTTGGAGTCAGATTCTATTCTTAAAACTCGGTAACCTCTAGTCCAAGCTATCTCTAGGCCATTAAAGAAAGCCCAAAGCTCGGCCAATGCTGCTGTGGCCGATCCAATGTTTCCAACAAAGCCAGTGATCCACTTCCCTCAACTATCTCGAATGCATCCTCCAGTTCCTGCTGGCCCTGGGTTACCACAAGAAGCTCCATCAATGTTGAGAGAGAACCAACCTGCAGGCGGAGCTTTCCAGCCAATGTTTGCCAAGATCCGCGTAGCCGTCTGTACTCTGTTGTTGGGGAGAAGAGTTGGAGCTTCCCATGCCTGATGCCATAGCTTGGCTTTGGCCACAATAGAATGAGCAAGAGTCGGAGGAGATAGAGCCGCTGAAGCGCCCTTGAAAACGAAGGTGCATCTATTCTTCCACAAGCACCACACTGCAACACTGAAAAAAGCAGCCCACGACATCCCTAGGCTGCCGATATCGGTGTTGGCGAGGTTAGCTCGAAGCCAGCTATGTTGGTCAGCACTGAAGAAGGCGTGCTGCTTCGGGCCCGGCACATGTCTTGTCCAAAAGAAAAGGGCTGGGGGCAGTCCCTAAGAATATGGAGGATGCTTTCGGGCTGTCCTTGGCATCGCACACAATCCGAGTTGGGCGCCAACTTCCTGGAAAAACGAAGCAGATTAGTTACTATTTTCCCAAGGAGAGTCAACCACAGGAAGTTCCTGACACGCTCAGGAACAGGTAGCTGCCAAATTGTCTTCCAATGCTTCTCATCTGGATCTGCAGTATGTTGATTAAGAAGGCTATAGGCCGACTTTGCTGAAAACTTTCCATCTGAGGAAGCACTCCAGAACATCGTGTCACCCTCCGTCGACAGATTGTCCACCGCCGTGCTGAGAATTTTCTGCAGAACATCATGAGGAAGAAGGTCTGAGAAGAGGTCGGTCCGCCAAGTTCCTTCTTGCGTCACGAAATCTGCAACCACCGCGCCTTCTATGTCACTTGGAATCGGGCTCACAGCAACGTCTATCAAGGGTACCTGCAAAATCCACACATCCAGCCAAAACTTAGTGTGTTTACCATTCTTTATATTCCAAGCACAACCTTTTCGAAGAAGATTAGCAGCTCTAGAAAAGTTGTTCCAGGTGAAGGAACTTCCCTGAATTGGTCGGATGATGTTTAAATCTTCTTGACCTCGGCCGTATTTCTCCCTCATCACCATGGTCCACAGGCTGTCCTTCTCCTTAAGAATTCTCCATCCACCTTTTGCCAGCATAGCTAGATTTGCTTGTCTAAGAGATCGAAGCCCGGCTCCACCTTGTTTCTTAGGGAGAACCATTTCATCCCAAGCTACAAGGTGCATTTTGGATTTGTTCTCCTCCTCTCCCCAAATAAAGTCCCTGTTTAACCTGTCTATATTTTTGCACACACCACTGGGAATAAGTTCAGTGCTCATAGTATAGGTGGGAAGGGATGAGGTTACCGAACGAGCAATAGTGAGCCTGGCTGCCAGAGATAGACGGCGAGCCTTCCAGGGGGCCAACTTCTTCTGAATCCTCAAGATTAATCCCTGATACCGCCCTTTAGTGACTCGACCATGGATGATATCTATTCCCAAGTATTTTCCAAGCTCCTGTTTAAGAGGGATTCCTGCTTTCCTACTCAGAATAGTCGCCTTGGCTCGGTCCACATTGGAGGAGATATACATAATCGACTTGCTGTAATTGACTCGCTGCCCCGAGCTAAAACAGAAGTCATCGAGGCATTCCTTGACCACCTTGATCTGGCGCGATTCTGCTTCAGCAAAAAGAAGCAGATCGTCAGCGAAAAAAAGATGAGTCAGAGGCAGGCCTTCCTTAGTAAGATGAATGGGTTTCCATTTCTTACTAAGACAGGCTTCATCAATCTTATGAGACAGGCGTTCCATACATAAAACAAAAAGATAGCATTTTGTTACGATGACTTTTTTATTTCAAAGGGTTGATAATAATTAATGTGGAATTATAAATGAAGGGTACGCTTGTCATTATTAAATTGGGGGACACACGTGTTTGTTGTGCATAGATTGGGAGCCACAAAATGCGAACCAGAAACACAAAGTACTACACCACAAATACGTAAAGCATACTAGAAAAATTATAAAGCATACCAGGTACCAAATGGTAGTGGTACACTACCAGATGAAAGTCACTACCACTAGTCTAAAACAACAAAACCATATCTGAAATCTGAAAAATTACAGATCTGGATAAAAAAATAGAGGGATGAGGAAAGGGAGAGTCGGTGACCTCGCGGCAAGGACCTTGTGGCGGTGGTGGTGGGAGGAAGAGGTGGCGGCTCCACCGCCGGAATGATGGTGATGCGGGTGGAGAAGGAGGCTGGCGGCCGGGAAAGAGGGGACAATGCAGCAGCAATGGACGGATCCCTCTTGCCGGTGGGAGGAAGTCAGCGACGGGAGAGGGGACAAAACGGCGAGTAGGATCTGTGGTTCTTAAGCCTATAAACTTAAGGAGTTTCTTAAGTTTGTGATGGCCAATAGGAAGAGGAGAGAGAATAATGAGGTTTAACCATAGACCAGGAAACCGGATCGTACCGGCCGGTTCAACCGGTTTAACCGGAAATTGGACCAAAAGCGGCACGGTGGGCTGATTGTGCTGATTTTACCGTGTCGGCCGGTTTTTTCGGTTTGACCGGTTGAACCGGTTGAACCGGCCGGTATGATCCGGTTTTCTGGTCTATGATTCAGCTTCATTCTCCGTATTCTCGTTCAATATGTGGAAAATAATTAAAAAAGAATATTATTTTGCTATTTTTCTATGTTGAAAATGGGTCACCGTGGTTGTATAATGCTTTATTTGGTTCTTTTTTTGATGGATTATATTTTTTATACTATCGCATTTCATTTCTCTATCAATAGTGAAAAACGGTATTTACCGGTACAAAATGGTTGAACCACGGTCGTACCACAAAATACCATACCAGAAAGGAATCCGGTATGATGTCCGGTACGGTTTCCTTTACCATGGGTTTAACTACCTAAAAGGGTAAATAGAGATTATAGGAAATAATTAATTTTATGAATAGTTAAAAAAGGAAACCAACTCCCACGATGGCTCCCTTTTCCATTTAATGCAATTATATGAAATGTTAAAATTAATAAAATTAGATATATTATTACTTAATAGTTAATGAAAATGAAAATCAATATTTAACGTTTTAAAAAAGAAAATAAAAAATGTACACTCTCCCTCGTTCGCTCTCTCCATCACGACTTGCAATGACATTATTAACGTTTTGCAATGACATTATCAATGTTTAAGAAATGAATTATTATTGATATATTACATCATTATTAATGATTTCAATATACTTATCAATATTTTACAGTTACATAATTAACGAATTTATTGCAATAGCTAACGATTTACAATTTTATCGTCATTGCTTATGAATGAATTATTGAAAGTATGCTCATCGTCATTGACATTTCATTGATCTACAATATCTTTATTAACAATTCTCATTTTCAGTTCATGTTCATAACTAGCCAATCATGGCCTCTTACAATGACTCCAATGACATTATTAACGTTTTGCGATCAAATGATATCGCTTTGTATTGTCGTTCTTGGCGATCATAAAGCACAATCCTTATTTTCAACATATTCAAAAATTGTGGCATACTGCACATGTGATTCAGTCAAGCATACATTAGTTCATTGAGGTGCAAAATATTACTAAAGCAAACCAACATTCATATTCTAGCACCAAACCGTTAATAACGATTAAGCAAATAATTGATAACGAAATTATATATTGTTGAAAAGAAGCACAAAAACATTAATAATATTTGGACTCAATACTAAAACTCAAATACCATCCAAAACTTTCATATGAATGTTGTATTTCTTTCAAATCTATAAAAAGTTTTTGTTGAAAGATGATCTCTAACCGTTAATAACTATATTGTAAATTATTGATAACTAAGATGTGTTATGTTAAAAATGCAAGCAAAATTCACAATAATGACAAAATTTAATGTTTATTAACTATATATAATAATAAATCATTAATGATATACGATATCATTAGTATCATTTTTGTAAATAATTGTTAGCATTTTACAAAATCACTATTAAAGATATCTCGTCATTATGCAATTTATCATAAATATTAACAATGATTAAAAATTAAATTATTTACGAAGGGCGATGTTGTTAATGTTTAATGATATACAATACTATCATTATCATTTTCTAAATACTTGTTAACATTTTACGGAATAATTATTAACTAT